CTGCGGGGAACTCTGCAAAAAACGCATCTTCGCACGGGCAGCCCGTGCGTTGGCCAATTTTTTTGCGTTGTTTTGCGTTTTTTCATGTACTCAGCGCAAAAACGCGTATTGTCGAGGGGTTGTCTGTGTGTGTCTGCGTATCTGTTAGTCTGCGTTTGCGTCTGTACCGATCTTTCATCTCGAAACCTACAAAAAATACAAGGCTGAAACTTCGGGAACATAATTTTTATGCATGTAAGGGCCCCATTCCCGAAATGGACACTCTTGCTCACGTGGCTACCACTTACGGGCCCGTCGAAGTTTTTGACGAGTACGTTGCTAATTCGGGAACCAGTGAAGCCAGAGGGTGGAATTTTAAGGGGATGATCTCCGTTTAAGTAGGACTCGATGAGTTCAAACCCAGCCGCAGGTGGGCATGGTTCATGTGTACGGACCTATGAAAATTTTTTGCGAGTAAGTTGCCAACTCAGGAACCAGAGAAGCTAGAAAGCTGGAATTTTAAATGGATGTTTTCTGACAGTCCTGATGGCCAGTCTCAGTTCTTTTAGCTAGAAGCATCTGCCGGAAAAACAGTGTCGTTAGCGGTAAAAACCTGCGGGGAACAATACAACGCATCTTCGCACCGGCAGTCGGTGCGCCGGCCAATTGTATATATGTAAATGCAAAAACACATGCTGTGACGACCCATGGTGGGCGTGAATGTGTGTGCATTTGTGTGTTTACGTGTGTGCGTCTGTCTGGGTATTTCAACTCGGTATCCAAGCAAGTTCCGACGCTGAAATTTTGCCAGTGGGTGGGTTCCCCGGCCAAATACCACTCCAGAACCGCGGTACCAGCTTTCATGCACGTCTGAGCGCCGCGTACGGGCACATGGAAAAAATAGCAGTGCTTACCAGCGTATCTGCTGTGATCATACGTTTTGCGCAGATCCCTCTAGCGAACATTTGCCTTTTAAGAATTCCACTGTTTTACATTTTGATGTGTATAAAAATAATTATACTGTTTGATTCCTGGGGTGCGAAATCTCCCACTAAGAATTTCTCGTACCAGCGTTTGAAACGTCATGGCATACGTGAAGGTTGAATTTTAAGCCTTTGAACCTTACATGGACGGGGAACATCCTTCTAAAATTTCAGCTTCCTGATTTTCTGTCGACCTTCCGTCAAAACTTCACCAGGCCGTACGTGAGACCAAGGCACAAGTGAAGGCAGAATTCGAGTTTATGAGGCCCCTTTATAGACAGAAAACATCCTCCTGAAATCTTAGCCTCCTAGCTGTTCAGGATCCAGAGTTAGCAAATCTCGCAAAGATTTCCACGTTGCCGCGTGTAAAGAAAGCTGAATATGAATTTACTGGTACGCATGTGGACAAAAATACTGCCCTATAATTCCGGCTTTCTAGCTTGCGCTGTTACCGAAGTACTAGTTTTTCCCGCCAAAAGTTTCATGGGACCATTTGTCATACGTGGAAGCTGACTTTGAATTTGTGGGGTCGCAAATGGACAAGGGATATTCCCCTAAGGTTTTAGCTCCCTGGCTTTTGTGGTTCGCAAGATATTAGTTTTTCCCTCCAAAAATATCACGGAATCGTGCCTGGGATCTGGGCGTACATGAAGGTTGAATATATATGTTTGCGGTCTTAGGCCTGGACGGGGAAACATTCTCCTAAAATTTCAGTTTCCTAACTTTTGTGATTCCCGAGTTGATAAGTGAGGATAAAATGCACTCGGGCACACACCCATACACACACATACGCACGCACATACACGTGCAGCTGCTACACACCACAAAATGCATAAAAAGCAAGCATGTTTTTAGATGAGTAGTGCCGTCTTCGCCAGTAAAGCACGGCTTTCATTAGTATATGTTATTTTAAACAAAAGTTATGGTGCGTTTACATTTTTATACAAGACTGACGTAAAGGTGAGTAATTGTTGCAGGGAGAAATTTCCACTGCGTTTAGCGTGGAGAAGCCAAAAGCGGTCGTTGAAAAATGTAATCGAATGGCTGTGATTATCAGACAGCATCCGAAGCCGAACGAAGCGACTGATGCAATGTCACAAAAAGAAGAAATTGATGAACAGTTCTTTGAACTTACAGTCAATGATGTACAGAGCATTCGTCGAGATCTTAGAGCACAAGCGTACGTCCTCTTCTCCAGCAACGCACTTCAAAGCGTACGCCTTCTCTGCTTCAGTGCAGAAAATCGTAAACATTCAAACGACCGGAGGCAAAAATAACTCTTGGAAAATTATTGCACGTACTTAGTAGCTGAGAAAAACTGTAGGCAGATAGGTAAGGAGCCTGAAGTAGCTGTACTTGACGCCACTTCAGTCACGCTGAAAGCAGAGTACGACATATTGGGTAGTGCGAAGGAATGGTTTCTGTGAGCACTGCTAATTTATATTCTCATTTCGTACCTCTTATTTTCTGCCAGGTTTAGGCGAATTTGTCCTCTCTTATGCGCTTTTTGCGCATTTATGCAAACGCGAAAACGCATATAGCAACGACCCATGATGTGTGTGTGTGTGTGTGTGTGTGTCTGTATGTGTGTTTTAACCCGGCAGCCAGATAAGCTTTTGTTCTGTAGTTTTGC